GCAAGTCAGAAATCGTTTAGTCCAATTCTTTCATCCTACAGGTGAGAAAACAGAGACCCAGGGAGCTTGGGAATTGGCCAAAGCAATATGAGCAGAAGTCATTAGACACAGGTTTCAAAACTAGGTCCAATGACCCCACAATGACTCCTCTTCACATCATCCCACTATTGCAGTTCAAGCCTCAAGCTTAGATGCTCATATTTACTTTTTCAGTTAGAAAACAAGCCACTGATGGATTCTGTCATTTGGGTGGAGGAAGACAGAAAGATAGACAAATCTGCATCTCGCTGGGCATTGTTGCTCATACTTCATGTGGGGGAAACCATGGCGGGTGGAAGGGAATGCGTTGTTACTGCAGCCAGATTGGCAAATTTCCCTCCCCTTTGGACAGAAGCAAATTTGCACACAGCACATAAATTGACATATGAGGCAGTAAATAATTCCATTGTGCAAGATGTTTTAATGGACTTGAGCCAAAATGCTCCATTAACCACACAACCATAGAATAGTCATTGATTCTACATTCTGTTACAAGAAAGGAAAAGAGAGAGATACACAGAGACAGAGAGACAGAGACAGAAAGAGAGACAGAGAGAGACAGAGAAACAGAGACAGAGACAGAGAAACAGAGACAGAGACAGAGAAACAGAGACAAACAGAGACAGACAGAGATAGAAAGAGATAGACAGACATAGAGTAGAGAGACAGACACAGAGAGACAGAGAAAGACAGAGACAGAGAGAGAAGAAGGAAGGAAGGGGGAAAAAACAGTATAATGCAGGAGGTTTAGAAATGTTTTTAAGACCTGAGGAGGTGGGAGGGAGGGAGACTTTAGAGGTATGCAAGATTTTTTTTAGAACTTTTTTTGCTTCTTTCTTTTCTCCAGAAAGGATTAAGTACAAAAATGACTGGGTTTCAGCTTTCAAAAATGATTGTCAAAATCTGAGAACGGGCTGGGAGCCTGTGCCAAATTCTCTCCTTCAGTCTTTATTGCAATGAATAGCCACATCATTTCTGGTACACACTGAAGTGGCTGCTCAGTGTGTGTGTTATGTGTGTGCATGTGTGAGTGTGTGGTGTATTTGTGCACACATGCAGAAATTGGCTTGTATTTTCAGAAATCAGAAAGCCTTCCTTCCGCAAATTGACCCACTCAGGAAGTGACAGCTTTGGGACGGCATCACCATTAAGCTTAGGCTTTTCACTCCAGAAATCCCAGGATTTGGTTTCCAAGAGAAACGAGACCTCCACGGTACATGGTTGGGGGGTCTAGAGTTTCAAGGTTTTTTGTTTTAGCCCCAATTGGGTGCAAAGCCCATGAGCTTGGATTAACCTCCAGGCATCTCTGAATCCAGAGAGGGCTAAAACCGCAGAGCACAGCTTCTGACAGGTGCATGCCAAGAGTAAAACCCATGGAAATTCTGGTCATATTACTCAGTGTCCCCCACCATCACCACCCCACAAGCCTGCCACCAATCCAGCTCCCATGTATCAAGGAAATCTCTCTGGCAATGCTGAGCGCACCACACCCAGTGCACTTGGGCCTTTGAGGTCTGTGCTGGAAGAAGATGGACTGTCCTGTGCTATGTGTGTAATAATAATGATACTAATAATAAGTTGGTGAAAGAAGGGGGAAGTACAATATTGCTTTGCCACCGATGGAATGGATTGACATTCTATTACCCACATCTCTGCAGCCATATTTTCCACCTGGACCATACTCACTTCTTATATCCAACTTTCAAAGCCTTTGCCTTCCTCCAGGGCTCCGCTACATCTCCTCCTTTGCAAAATTTCACCTGATTCCCTGACTTGCCTACATTTTCCTGTTCTCTACCACTTTTGTTATTTTTCTTTTTTCTTCTTTTTTGTTATTTTTCTGCTCATTCAGTGTTTCTGCCCCATGCCAGCTCCCACTCCCCAGTAAAATGCAAGCTTCTCGGCTACAGGTGTTGCTTCATTGGTTTCTTGGTATCCCTGGTGCCAAATGAGCATGGTGCTTGCCGTGCAATAGACATTTAATGTGTACTTGTTGAATTGAAAGAAATGAAATTTTACCAAACTGGATTTCTTCATAGGAGGAATTAGAGCAGTCTACCAAAGCAGCTTCCATGAAGCAAGATGAATGGGCAGTGCTTTAGGAAGGTCATCAATGCCAAACTTATTACCAAACCCAATCGCCCTTCCTCCGTAAATCCCCATCCTACTGCACCTCCTGCAGGATCTTGCTTTCATCACAACTCATCCCAACTTGCAACTTTGTTCCTCCCTTGAGTATCCAGGGGTCCTATTCCTGTTTAGTGATCTCTACGCTCGTCTTCTTTCTTGTTTCTGTTTTCCTTCTTACTTTCCATGTGGGGCTGGGCATTTTCCAAAGTACAGGCATCACATCTCCATTCTGCTTTCCTCCCTAAGATCTCATTTGTTGCTAGAATGTCAACTCTTAACAATGCAGATAATTTCTAAATAGTCATCTCTAGCTCTGCTTCCTCTCCCAAGCTCCAGTCTCCATTTTCCAAAAGGCTGTTGGGTTTTAATAGCTGAGAGTCTTGCCATCATCTGAAATTCAAAATCTGAGCAAGGCCAGTGTCCCAGTACCATACATTTTACCATCCATCCTGGTGTTCCCACTTTCAGTAATGTCCACCTTATCCTCTAGGACATCTGAATTCTAAAGTTTGGATTTCTTGATTCTTTACTCTCTGTTTTCCAATTTGTCAAATCAGTCACCATACCTTCTTATTCCTTTGCAATGTTTTTGATATGCAGATGAAATGGGATAACCACAGCAGAGAAAGCTAACGTCACTTAAAGATGTCAATAAGATGGCTTCTATGCATAGGTCTCATCTCTGGGCAATGGAGAATGCCAAAACTGAAAAGATTAGGCCAATAGCATCCAGAAAGAATAGAAATGAATTTTTATCTGTATCTGGGGCAGAAAAAAGACCAAGTATTTTGCATGTAACAGCTGCCGCAAATCCAAGAACAGCTTCCCTCTTAGAAAATGTGAAAAATATTGGTGGTTGCAAATTCATCTTTTTGGTACCCATCATCTCCCACTGAAAGTGTCAGTGACTTGCCTAGCATCACACAATCAGAATGTGTGAGAGTTAAGTCTTGAACCCAAGTCTCTCTTCCTTCAGGGCAGGTTTTGATCCACAGTACTCTACTACACATACTTGTTGAATATAGTGGAACTGAATTCCCCTCTCCTGGAACAGACACTAAATATCACTGTGGAACTAGTCCTAAGACTCTGTAAGACTCAGGAACTCTGTAAGCCATGGGATCATGGTGTCTTCTGTGGAATCAATATCTCAGAGTTGGAAGGGCTCTTTAAGGTCAATGTGAACTCAATTCCCCTTTCAACCATTCCTGAGAAGTGGTTGGCCATCCAATCTCAACTTGGATGACGACATTAATAGATGTAAAACTGAAAGGAAATTTGGAGATTGTTGATTCCTCATTTTGCAGAGGGAGTAAAGTAAGTAAACTGATCAGCAGGGATGGGATTTGCCCACTCACACTAGGAGTTATGCAGCAAAGCCAAGTTTGGGATCTGGTTCTTCTGCCTTCAAATAGAGCTTTTTCTAAAGAAACACATTTCTTCACCCTCCCCTCTGAAGCTGCCCATTCATCTTTAGACAGCTCCATTGTAATTGCTGGGAAAAAGGACCTTACATTTGGCCCAAATCTGCCTCTTTGTAACTTCTTACCATCCCCACTGGTCCTCTGCCCAGTGGTTAAATAGAAGCCATACAATGTCTCCTTCTTGAGATAGCCTCCAAATATCTGAAGGAAGCTAAACTGTCCTTTCTAAGTCTTTTTGTCTCGAAGCTAAGCATTCCCTGTTTCTTCATTCCTCTTTCCTAGAAGCCAGCCTTCTCTGAGGGTCTATTTAAAGTGACTGGAGGATTGCAAAGGGAGAGGGAAGAGAGTTGGGTCCTTTTACCAGGCTCCATTTACCCTGCTTCCCAACCATCCAAACATTTTGGGAGGATTCTCAGTACTTCTGAGCATTTGATCTAGTTAGGACCATTCACCAAGGACCATATTTTTCTACTCAGTGCCTAGGATACTGCCTTTAGGCCCTTGTACCTTGTGAATAGCATGCACCGATAAATATTTCTTAGAACGAATTAAGTAAATATGTTCATTGCTACACCGGCGACAATACACAGCAAGTTACAGAAGACGTAAAGAAAGAAGACTTGTGAATGGAAAAATCACCAGATTTGAAGTCATCTTTGCCCAACTAGCTATGTGACTCTGAGCCAGCACTTCATTGCCCTGAGCATCAGGGTAAAAGGGACATTTTAATACTTGGACCACCTATTTCTTGAGGGTTGTCATGAAGGCAGAACTTTGTAAATCATTATTGGACGGAACTCAAAATGTCTAGTTCATTTCTAGTCCATTTCTCCTTGTCCTCAATCTCTCCTGAGATTACAGGTGTGTATCACAATTTCAAGCTCAGGGTGTTTCCTTAAATTCACCTTAGTAATATGCCATTTTGGAGATTGTGGAAGGGCCAGTCCAGTGGGAACTTGCTCTTCATGTCATTTGGGCTTTTAACAACAGTGTCCATGGACTGGATGATTTTTTTTTTGGTGGAAGGAGGAGAGGTTGACAATGTTATGGATGGATGACTGGCCTAGAAGTCAAGAATCTGAGTGTGAATCCTACTTTTGAACTTCTTAGCTATGTGATCCTGGACAAGTAACTTAATTTCTTTCAGTTCAATTTTATTGTCTGTAAAATGGTGTATTAATAGCATTCATCTCACAGGTTTGTCATGAGGACCAAATGAGAAATGTCTATAAAGTGCTTTGCAAACATTTAATTATAGTATAAATCTTAGTTGTCATTATTATTTGTATTTATAACTGAAGGGATTTCTCCCTCAGTAAGAACACCTAAGTTATAGAAACTTCACTTTGAATTGTCTTCTTTTGGTTCTAGTCTTATAAATCTGATGCTAAACCACTCATTTTTCAGGAGGCAAGGTGAAGGCATCCGGATCTCTTGGGGGAAGAGTGAGGAGCAGTCCCTCTTGTCCCGCTGGAACCCTTGGTCCACAGAAGTTCCTTATGCTACTTTTATAGAGCACCCCATGAAGAATAGCAGTGAAAAGTTCAGTGAAATTTGCAAGGTAGGTATGGCTTTGCATACTTCCCTTGGGAAGACATGGCTCAGAAGCCACAAGTGTCCAAAGATAGAGATACTAGAAAAAGTAGATGATGAAGAAGTACACTCAGATAATTGAAATTAAGTTAATTTGGGCTACATTCAATGTGCTGCTTAAAGCCTGTTCGACCTTAGAGATACTCTTTCCTCTATGTGGGTTTCAGTTTTTCCAATAGTAGAATGAGGAGTTGAACTGAACTATGGATGCTCAACCTGGTGTCTCTCTTGCTCTCGCTATATATATATATATATGTGTGTGTGTGTGTGTGTGTGTGTGTGTGTGTGTGTATGTATGTATATATATGTATGTATATATCTATGTGTGTGTATATATATATATGTGTGTGTGTGTTATATATATATATATATATATATATATATATATATATATATATATATATATATATATATAAATCTGTGAAGTGTAACACCTGCAGACTTTCCACTCCCATGAAGGGGCAGGCTGGCAATGTCTTATTATCTTTCTTCATTCCAGTCCTGTTTGATCTGTACACTCTCGTTACCTTTACTTTTGATTTGTTGGTGTGCGGTGGTTCTTTCCATTTACTTGTTTGTAGTCATTGTGCATATTGTTTTCTTGACTCTTTTGACTTTACTCTGCAACAGTTCAGTAGATCTTTCTAGGCTTCTCTGCATCCATCACATGCATTATTTCTTATAGCACAGTAACATTCCATTACATTCACATACCACAATTTGTGGTATTTCTCAACCATTGGGCATCTATTTTGTTTCCAATTGTTAGCTATCATAAAAAGTGCTTTCATGAGTATTTTGAAGTATATGGGGACTTTTTTTTTCTGGTTAATGGCTTCCATGGGGTATAAACCCAGTAATAGTGATGTGATTGTGGGTGCTAAAGATCTCAAAATGCAAGGGTGCAGGGTGGGTCTGCATCAAAAGAAGTCTTCTTTCTGTCAGAGCAATGAGGTTTTATTATTCGCCAACTGAGCAGGCAAGATTTCTAGTAAATCTGTGAATTTGATAGGGACAAGGTTCATACTGACATATAATAAAAGACCTTGGGAAGATCTGGATGGGATCAAGAAGTGGCAAGTAGACTGGGGTGGACCAGGTGCAGACAATGAAAGGAGTTAAGTGGTAGGGCCACAATGAAAGGATAGTTAAAATGATTATATTGGGTAGAAGTATGTGGGAAAATTCAGGGTCCAGGTCCCATTGACCCATCAGTAGAATCATTGATTCATAGCATATGAATATTTTGATACTTTTATCTGCATAATTCCAAATTATTTTCCAAAAATGGTTATACCATTTCACAGCTACCCTAGCAATATATTAACGTGTGTAATCCTTCCACTCACTCATCCAAAGTGAAATGTCCAGTAAATGGCAGGTCTAGGGGCAGTATCCAAGTCTCTTTATTTACTAGTTCACTATTCTTTCCTTTGGGCTATTGATCCTTCTTTATGGATGCAATAAATGATAAATGAGACCTAAGTGTTTCTGGTCTTTCTTTTCTTTTTAGCTCATTTAATGCATTTCTAGAGGCTTTTCAGAGTAGAGGAACATGATAGGTGAGCATGAGGTACATCTAAGTCCAACTGTCCGTTAGATTCAAGAAGATCTGGGTTCAGAAATCCCTGCCTCTGATACATACTAGCTAAGTACTCACTGGTAATTTACGTAAGCTCTCCAAGCTTTCTCCATTCATGTTGTTGATAATGCTGGAGAGCTGATGATCTGCTTTGGTGGAAGCGCTTTCTATTCTGGGCATTCCCCATCCTGATGTAATCCCATATCTGGACCAAATGCAGCTCTTCTTTTCCGTTTTTTCCAAGGATCCTCACTGTAATCCTTTAAGGAACATAGTACAAGTGTCTCCACCACACCCCATTTTTCAGATGAGGGAGTGGAGGAGTGGTTCTGATTCCAAAGCCACCTGTGTACTCTTTCCACGATACCACACCAGCTCTTGATTTAAATTTGGATCCCAAAGCACTCTCTTGCCTGCCTACCATAGATTTTCTTTAGCCAATGTGCCTGTTGGCCATCTTTCTGTATTTGAAAATTACAGGATATAATCACATTGGGAATGAGAGCTATTCAAGCCCAGACTATGAAGACCTGACTCATTGGAGATAGAGGTCCTGGTAATGATTCCTACTGTGCAGCTTGCACGTGGCAGCAGCCTGTGGCCAGAGGGTTGGAAGGACTCACCCAACAAGAGAATTTGGACCCCCGGGCATAAAACCTGTTCTTGTCACCCTGTGTCAACAGGAAGCAAGGGGTGGCTTTGCCAGTGAAAGAGGAGTCGATGAGTTTGAAGCTTTGTTGGCATTTGAAGCGAGCCCCTGTGAAGGGCCCGGCAACAATGGAGGTTACGGGCAGGAGACCTACAGAAACAAAAGCCCTGAACCACCCGGCAGCTTGCATGCAGCTGGAGTTGTTAGAACTTGACCCTCTTTTGTCAAGAGAGGGAGGGGGGGGGATTTTTCAGAGAAATATGCTGCTCGTGCCATTCATGTCAAGTTACACGACTTTCCCGTCACCCAGACTGAGCTCAGCTGCCGGAAATTCTCCAGAGGACAGCCTTTTTGTCCCCTCTTTGCAAAACACATTCCTGTTCCTCTCCTCATTCCCATTAACTTCATTCTTCATGATCAGCAAAGATAAATTGCTGAAAACTAAACACATTTGACCTCTGATGAGATGCCAAAGTCAATGCAGGGCAAGTATATCTACCTTCTTTTTTGACCCTTCCATTCCGAGATGATGAAGAATTTTAATGAAGCCTAAGGCCAGAATTCTAGGGAAAGACAGAGTGGTAGATTGTTATAGGTCTTCAGTTCAATGAATTTGGAGTCATATTTTGATCCCCTAAAATGGCAAATGTTTCATATACATACATACATACATATATATATATACATATACATATATATATATACACACACACACACACACACACACACACACATAGATATAGATATAGGTATTTACATAGACATAAAAGGGCAGCTAGGTGGCGCAGTAGATAGAGCAGTGGGCTTGGCATCAGGAAGACTCATTTTCCTAAGTTCAAATCTGGCCTGAGACATTTACTAACTGTATGATGCTGGACAAGTCAGTTAACCCTGTTTTTGCCTCAGCTTCCTCATCCATAAAATGAGGCAGAGAAGGAAATAACAAACCATTCTAATACCTTTGCAAAGAAAACCCTGTGTATTTGCAGCTATGTGTATGTATCATATATGACATATAGATATATGTATATAAAGAAATAAGATAATATATACAGATATATTTATATGTCCATATAGAAAAGAGAAAGGGAAAATATATAGAGAAAAATGCTGCACTTGACATTTTTGTTATATTGTTGTTGTTCAGTCATTGCTGCGGTGTGTGACTCTTTGTGACCCCATTTGAGGTTTTCTTAGCAAAGTTACTGGAGTGATTTGCCATTTTCTTCTCAGTTTTACAAATGAGAAACTGAGGCAAACAAGTTAAATGACTTGTCCAGGGTCAGACAACTACTAAGTGACTGAGGCTAGATTTGAACTCAGGTCTTTCTGACTCCAGGCCCAGAATTCTATTCACTGTGTCACCTAGCTGTCCCTTTTCACACATGTGTGTGTATGTGTGTGTATACACATACACACACACGCATATATTTATTTCTACATGTGAGTCTGGGTGTATATGTGTGTGTGTTTGTATATGTGTGTATACATATGTATATATATGTATATATATAATGTATATGTGTATATATATATGTGTGTGTGTATATATAATGTATACGTGTATATATGTGTGTGTGTATGTATATATAATGTATGTGTGTATATATGTGTGTGTATATATGTGTGTGTATATATATACACACACATATATATACGTATACATTATATACACACACACATATATATACACAAATATACATTATATATACATATACACATATATATGTATGTGTATATGTATATGTGTTTATATATATGTACATATACATATATATATGTATGTGTATATGTATATGTGTTTTTATATATATATATATAAAGAGAACACCTCTGAGTAGTATCAACCTTCAAGGAGTTTACATTTGAATGGGGGAGATACCATGGCCATAGCTAGGTATATATACCATACAGAAAGTATAGGACCCAGGTAGCCTCACAGTGGAAGGCACTCCCGATTCCTGGCTACTGGTCCACAGGTCTTTCCATTGGATCGCTGTTCTTTCTCAGTGGACACTAAATAATCAATGAGACTCAACTATTTTTGATCTTCTTGTTTTCTTTTTGTTAACTTGACACATTTCTGGCAGCTTTTGAAGGACAGTAAAAGACAAACCAAAAGACAAATTGTATTTGATCTCAGAGGGAATCAGGATTCCCAGAGTTTATTAAATAGGGAAGTGGCATGGTCATATGTGCACATGAGGGAAATTTCTTTGGCAGCTTAGAGAGGGAGGAGGCTTGAGGCAGTGAGATCCATTAGACTCTTATTGTTATTTTTTACTATTCTTTGCCTCTAAAGAGCTTGTAACTTTCTGACTTCTTTGAAAGATCTGTGACTGTGATATCATTAATAAAAGGATCTCCATGAAGAGGAAACTCCCTCCACCAATGCAGGTCAACATTTTCTCTGCAACTTATGGTCTTTAAGAGTTGTTCAGGCTACCGAGAAGTTCACTTACTTGCCAAGGCTCACAAAGCTATAGGGTGTCAGAGGCCATACTTGAACCCAAATCCCCTTGCCTTGAAGGTCAGTTCTTTTTCCACTAATACTCTCCACCTCTCTCTTTTGCAGTTAACAATAAGGTTATATTATTGCTACTTAGCATTCAGAATAGTTTCCCATAACACCTTGCAGGAATAAAATTTAAAAAAAATATTAAGTGTAATGTCATGAGTATTCTATTGGAAGTTTGGATGGTTTTAGTTCCAGCCTCAAGTTACCAGGCTCTTGTCC